TTGTTTTTTCTTCAGCAGGGAGAGCACACAAAATTAAACTCAACAGCAAAACTAAACATCAAGAAAATGTTATGTCGTCTAATGAAGTAATAACTTTGTATTGACATTCACCACACCATTACGCTATAAACACCACTTTCCAGAAACACAACATATAGTATTTAAAATGTGTAAGGGATAACCATAGTTGCCATGGTTATTGCATGGCGTGGAGGCAAAGAACCACCCAATGTGAAGCGCACACACTTACTGTAGCATTAATCTAAATCAGGGTCAAACTCAGTTCCTGAGGGCCGGAGCTCAACCCTGCTCCAACACACAAACCGTGCAGTCATGAATGTCATGATCTGTGCCACTAGAGGGAGGGCAAAGCTTTGCTTTTTAAAAACCAAGGCGTATTAACCAGGTGTCGCTTTACCTGGCCGTGGTGCTGCAACATAAACTCTGTGTCCTTCTTGTGTCAGTTGTCTCTCACTCCCAGCTCACAGCGGTCAGATGATCCAGACAGTACAGGACAGACTCTGACCGTGTCCCACAGAGAGATGATCTGCGCACAGACTCACAGAGACTCCAACAACACATCCATTCAGGACACGAGAGAGGAGTGCAGATGAACAATGAAAACAGACTGAAAGAAGAGAGGAGACGGTGTGACATCTGTCACAACTGTGAAAGGGTGAAAGGTACTTTCACTGGTACAAAATAATGAAGTCAGGTAGTATTAATTGAATAAAACCACATTGTAGGTTACTTTTTAAAGAAACACATTTTAACAATTTATTTAACCTGTTAGGCGTGTCTGTGCTTTTAATTACCTTTGTTTAAAAAAATATTCAATCAACTATCATAAACTATATATCATTTGACAGCTAAAACACTCAAGATCCATGTTCTGAGCTTGTTTTTTAAATCAATACACCAGAGAGGAAAGGGTTAACATAAATGATGAGGAACCGGCCATTTAAACATGTAGAAAGTGAACAGCAGTACTTACGTTAAATCCACTTAAAATAAATAATTTACAGGGACATACATATTACAGATGCAATACATTTACACAATCATGGACCAGTGGCATACAGCAGATCTTCACTATATTAAGCATGTCACTCAGTTGTTATGGGTATAAAAGAAAACAAAGAATCACATACACACATTTTCAGTGTTATAGAAGATTATCTTATTTAATTATGGTAATGTTAATCAGTAAGTGATGATTAATTTTATGCAGTAGTGCACATATAGTGTACAGGTATAAAACACACTGATCTAACAGTTCCTGACAATCCAGCAGGATGAAGCCGAGTCTGTGGATCCTATGAAACAGTGACAACATCTACAGTAGCTTTTATAAGAACACACTAAATTAATGCATTAATTAAAGAGTCCAGCAGAGCTCAGAATGTTTCTACAGACCATCACATTGACTCACTGAAGTCTCTCACACACAGCAGATGATAGCTTATAATTAAAAGGTGAAAAAAAATCCATATGACAAACAGGATTCAAATATGAAGATTCAAATGCTTTGAAAAGTCATGTCATGCTTTTACAAAAAAAAATAATAATAAAAAAACGTATGTATTAAAATAAATATCTAAAATACAAAATAGCTCAATTACCTCCTATGGACTCATGACACTGGGGAATATGACCTCACAATCTGGCTTTATCCACCTTATTTTTCCCGTAAGAGCGGCGCTGCCAATGCGTCTGGCTTCCGGTGTGGTTCGCTTTCATCTATTTTTAGCTCTACAAAACAGCTGGTTTTGCAAACTGGTGTTTCTTGCTATATTATTTTAATGCCATGTCTTAATTATGAACACACTGGTTTGTAGTGCAAACAGTTTTACAGTTTACTGCAGTTTGTTCTTCTTCTTGTTATTTCCCTTCAGCGGCTAATGAAGCAGAAGTCTCGCACAGTCACAGAAAACGGCTTACTTCCACACTGAATAATAAGATGTATACCTCACAATACAAGTTATCTTACAACGTGTTATTATATGTTATAATGTAACTAGACAACTACTTATTTCATAATGAAATAGTCACAACTACAGTTTTTTTTTTATGAAAAAATAAATTTTTATGAAATGTAATAGACACTCCTAGCAATTAATTTTGTGGTTCCTCACAAGAGGTTGTTACATCGGACAGAGAAACACTGAAGAATCACGATAAACCAGAAATCCAGCGTAGAGGGGTTCAGTGAATGTAGTGTTGAATGTGTGTAAGTGTGTGAGTGTGTGTGTGTCAGAGACACTGTAGAAAGACAGAGTGCCGGCCGACACATCCACATACACTCCTACTCTATTAGATGGTGAAGGGCGAGGAACGTTTGTGCTCTTATTATTGTGCCAGACAGAGTAAATTGTATCACAACAGTAAATATTCCAGGACTTTTCATTGAATCCAAACCGACATTTGCTCCCACCTTTCCTGCTGATTCCTTTGTATGCCACAGCTACATGACCCCATCCGCTCCATTCAACCTCCCAGTAACAGCGTCCAGTCAGACGCTCTCTACACAAAACCTGCTCACAGTTCTCAAACCTCTCTGGATGATCAGGATGCGGTTGATTCTCTCTCTCACACTTTGTTTTCTTGTTCCCTGCAGACAGAGAGAGACGAGTGTGTGCTGTGTTTGGATCCAGTGTGAGATCACAAGCATCTGGGAAAAACATCACAGAAAGACAGATTAGGACATCTATGGCTTTATTAAATATGCATTGGTGTATTTGTGTGTGTATGACTTACACTTTCGCAGTCCTGGTGTGATCCTGAAATGTTCTCTGTGGTCCAAACTGAACAAAGACATAATGAAAAGAGACATAAGTACATACACAAACAAATAATAAGGGTGAATAAATTCTGCATTTGAACCTGAAAGAGTACAACAAAGTATTAAATGGTTAATGTCATGAGAAACCAATTTGCTTTGATGTTTTGATCACATCATTACACAATTAAAACATCTTGCAAGTTTCAAAGCTCAATATATCCTCCTCAGTACAAAAAATTCATTTTAAGCAAGATCGAAAAATGGCTCATTTAGATTCTACAGGATTTGTCACATAGGCAAATATATTTATACAGCAAGACACTGATGCTCACTTTTACATCCTCACACCATTGGCCCCACCTACTGGTGCTCAATCAAATCTCTAGTTATGCGTCTCATTTTTTATTGATCATATGTTGGTACGGATGAGAGACCTGGTGAGCCAAATTATTTTTGTCCAACACCCAGGTGTGGCTCACAAGTCATAGGGTCCCGATCACTAAAATAGACAGATGCCCCATACTATTTCTTACATACTCCATGCGTTTGAGCTACTCGTGACAACAGGACAAATGAGAGAGGAAAGGAGCATTTGACTGAACATTGTTTTCTAAATGAGGCACAATGTAATGCAGGGTTCATGAAGAAACTTTTGTTGAAAGATGAAGCTGTGCTAGCTTATTACGTATGACAGCAGTCATGTCACAAAGTGTAATTAAGCAATTTCAAAAACAAAAACAACAAAAGATAATAATTGCATGACTTAGTCTAGTAAGTGGAAAATAACACCACATTGCAAAGAATAAAAGAAAAAAAAAGATTTATGAATGTCATGATTTTTCTCTAGATTTACAACCTGGGGGGGGGGGGGAAATGCATGGCCTTATACGCTTTCATCAACTTTTACAGGTTATATAACGTTTATTGTAGCTATATGGGTGCTTAGTTTTTCTTGCTGTTTAATATACTTGGCCAAAATCTCATGATATAAACGATGTAGCACTATATGCACAGGATATTTAAAACGTACAAAAGTATATTGGCTACAACTAGACAGAAAATAGCCTACTTCTCCGCTCTTCAAACACACAAAAAACATCAGCCTTTACAGACATAGTGTTTGAGTAAAGAAAACGCTGTACTATTCAAACATAGTTATTTATTTACCCTTGCATTGCAAACAAACGGAGATCTGTCTGTGCATGGCGCATCAATCTGAATGGAGGCGAGATGAAGTTGCAAGGTTTCGCTGACAGCTTGAGGATCCAGTGGCATTACGAAGTTTTACTGACAAGCTCTTTTTAATGCTTATCATTGGTTAAATATTTGTAAAACCCTCTGATTTAAAATAATAATAATGAAATATAATAGAGATGTGAAGTTTAGATAATTTTTCAATGCACACCTGACTGGGCTAGGGTATGGCAACTGCCATATTCTTTCATAAGCCTGGGCGATAAAAGGGTATTGGTATTTATCAACCATACACCTTCATCAATAACAATAAAACAAATGTTAGATATAGCGCACGGTATAGGCATGTGCTTTGAGAGACGCAGACAGTACACACGAACACATGCTGAGTGCTGTGCCTGCCTGTGATGAGGAGATTGTGAATAAAAAATGAATATTAATCGAATTTAAAATAAAAATTTGCATTTGAATGCAAAAACGGTGCAATTGAATGTTAGGTGTGCTTCAGTGAGGGAGCCTCATCAGAGGCGCAAGAGATGCGGTGATGATGATGCAAGTGTCTTTGTCGTATTTTATTGTATTTGTTAGTCTGTCCAGTTGAACCCACAAGACACGCCGCTGCTGCGTTATTCATTCAAAATATTATAGAAATATACACTCTAAAAAATGCTGGGTTGTTTCAACCCAATGTTGGGTCAAATATGGACTAACCCAACTGTTGGGTTAAATTTTGGTTACATTTTTAAATTAGCTTTTTAACCCAACAGTTGGGTTAGTCCATATTTGACCCAACATTGGGTTGAAACAACCCAGCATTTTTTAGAGTGTAGAAGCTCAATGCGGAGAAGTTATTGGTTAGGTTAAAACCAAAACCAAGCCATTCACAAAGAAAGCATATTAGGCGCATTTTTGGGACAGACAACTATGACCGTTGCACTCGTGTTTCACGCAAGAGATGTATAGAAAGCCATGTAAAGTTAAAAGAGTTTAAACTTTTAGAAAACACATTGCGAATTTGTGGACGTTTATTCTATTTCACTGCGTCTCATGTTTTTAAATGCAATCTGCGTGATCGGCGCTTCGTCTATTTCAATTAAGCTATGTATAAATACATGATGCTGTTTTGTTCATAATTGTTTATGCAATTTATCAAATTATATTTGATTTATATATGTTAATTTAGACATTGTGCACATTTTTTATAGACTGTTATTTTAATTGCATTACATAAACAATTTAATTTGCTGCATTATTTTGCTCATTGCGCCCTCCTGTGGCTATTTAATCTGAATATAAGACATAAGAAATTAGATATTTGTTTAAATTGTATTTTGTGTTTGACCGTTAAAACAAACAAAAGAAATTGTTGTTTGTCTTAAACTGGGTAAATTAAAAATACAGCGGTTGAATTAATTTTTTTCTATTGCTCTTTGTTTTAAAAAAGGTTATAATAAAAATGTCAATAATTATCGACACCGAACAATATAAAGCATTATATTGTTGATACATTTTTTAGCTATATTGCCCAGCCCTACTCTGTCATAAGGAAACGCCACCCCTGGCTCACAGACTTTCTTAGAAGATTGCTCTTTGTTGACCCCATCACACAAACAAACACACATATGAGTCATAACTGTCCCACATACTTGAGAATCTGCAGTGAGCAGAGTGGATCATTCAGTCTGTTGCTGAGCAGCTGGACTCCTGATGGTCCTGGGTGATTGTAGCTCAGATCCAGCTCTCTCAAGTGTGAGGGGTTTGAACTCAGAGCTGAAGACAAATAACCACAGCCTTCCTCTGTCACCATACAGCCAGACAACCTACAGAGAGAGAATGTCCGAAATCTCATTCATGTGTTTTGTCCTTTTGGAATTTGACAACTGGTCACAATCATAGGCGGAAACATCTGAGGGTTGTCCCCCTTAAAAATATGATTAAAAACCACGCTGTGTACTGTAAATAAGAATGTTTTATACTTTAAATAATTGTGTAAGTAACGAGGCAAAAATGCGTTTTGAGTTTAGAAATATTTTGAGTCTCCCCCTCCCTTGCCTCACAGTGCTTTGGTCCAAATGCCTGCTTTCCTCTTTTACATCACCTACACACACACACACGAGTCCGGTGATAGAGAACAAAGTCAATAGCTGTGGAACTTCAAGGCTATTTTATTCACTTAAACATCGGATTAAGTTATTATTTTCTCTTTAATACAGATGATGCCCATGTATTTTTCGATGAGTCCGCTATGTTATCTATAATAACGTTACCTGCTTGACGGACAGGGTAGCCAGGTTTTCACATCAAAACCCGCCCAATTCCTATTTAAAACTAGCCCAAACTATCTACATTTCGGAGGGGGTTCCCTGGTAAAAATCATATTCCAGGGGCTAAATATCACATTATTGGGGTCGCTTCAACCCGTGGACATGAAAAACAACCTGCGGCAACAGTGGTAAAGTAGTCCAATTCCATGGGAAAACCGCAGACTCTGCAACACTGTGACGGATAGTAATGTCTACAACGGACACGAGAGCTGTCACAGAGCGACCACAACAGCTTGAAGTTGTCTAATTTGGCACAGCCTCCCTGCTGCAGTAATAGTAGTAAAGCTTTCCTCTGTGTATACATATCCTTACAAGTACAATTTTAGCTGTATTATTTGTGTCCCCTTCAAAAATTGCCCTTGAGGAATATATGTTTATTGTCCCCCCAGCAGTGATCAAGTAGCCCAATTCCACAGGAAAACCGCGGACTTGGCAATACTGTGACGGATAGTAATGTCTACAACGGACACAAACACTGTCACGGTGCGGCCACAACAGCTTGAAGTTGTTTAATTTGGCACGGTCTCCCTGCTGCACTAATAGTAAGGCTTTCCTCTGTGTATACATATCTGTACAAGTACAATTTCAGGTGTATTATTTGTGTCCTCTTCAAAAATTGCTCTTGAGAAATTTTATGTTTATTGTCCCCCCCTACTGTTAGACGAAATTTACGCCCCTGGTTACTATATATTTCCATGATATAAATTAGATCTGCTTGGACATTTTTTTTGCAAAATTGTATTGCACAACTTCTCCTTTTGTGTTTTACAGAAATAAGTAATCACACGATTTGGAAGATGAAGGTGATTTACACAAAATTTACACAATTTTCATTTTGAGAAAAATCATTGCTCTAAAGTACCTTAAAAGTGTAGCTTATGTATTTGTTGTTTTCTTAATCTGCTAGTTAATTTCGTTTTTTTTTTTATCTGCTAAACGATTAGTGAATGTAAACTTCACTTAAAACTGCAGTCCGTAAGTTTTGCCTCTTTGTCGCCATCTCTGTTTGAAAACCTGCAATTGCAGCTGTGTGTGGAATTATCTTCCTTGCGTGGGTTTTGCACGGATCCAGTGCATATGAATCTAATGTTTTGAGGAGTATGTGTGGCAGTCAGTCACCGCACCGGTGTGGATATTTACTGTACTTCGCAATCAAAGATTCTAGCCTATGTCTTGGAATATATGACCCAAATAAAAATGTTCACCGTATATTGTCATCTGAACAAGTAAGTAACAAGTCTGCCACGTTTGTTCTGACCAACTGAGGAAAAAAGCATTACAATAAATCGTGCTACCAATGGTGATTTAATCTAAAGATCGGTTAGCTCATATCACATCAAACCATGCAAATTATTATTATTGTTATACTTTATTCTCAAATTGTCAAAACATCAGCATTGCGTGACTATGAGTATAGTGTGTAGATTTCTATTTCTGGACAGTCTAATCTCTAATTGTCATACCAATAGAATTTCATATTAAGAAATTATTTTACCCAAAAAGCTAATTATGCTCTTTTCGAACTGGTTTCGAATTACTTGTGTAATCCCAGGCTATCTGTAATCAGAAGCACATTTAAAACTGGAATATAATTTAATTTAATTCACATGTGTTTCATAAACACATAATCCTTTCTGGATTACAATCCGCCATCAGATTGATGCATTTAATTATTCTGGCTGCTGTGAGAAAAGGCTATAAAAGATCGGCCACCTGCAGCATCCTCACATGCGATAGACTAGTAGCCAGGACAACTTCTTTATGTTTACCGACGTGACGTAATGACGCAGTGCCATGCTTGAATTTTCAGCGAAAACCTACCCGTACCACTCAAATGAGAAAATATTATTATAAACTAACCGTTGTGAATCGGGCTAAAGTAAGGCTCTAGTTTTGAACACAGGCTGGTTATGTACTTGCTCAAATATTGATTTCAGATCATTTTTAACCAAAAACAAGTTACGGACTGCATCTTTAAGTATTACCAACCTGCACAACAAAGCCATCTTTACCCCTGGCATTAACATGTTTTATGCATTTGGATCTTTCTTGATTTTTCTTTATTTTCAAGCAACATCTCGCATGCTTGCTTAAGATGCAGGTGTTCACGTAAAAAAATTAATAAATTGAATGTTAAATATATGACATATATTTCTCTCTCTCTCTCTCTCTCTCTCTCTTTCATATTGAACTTAATTCATTATATCAGCCTAGACATTAATGGTTTGGATTAAATCACTTATGGTCACCAGACTGTATATTTAAATTTCCTGATTTATGAATTGCCAGAAGGAAGAGTCTCCAACATGGGATCACAGTAAACATTATGTGTTTAGAAATCTTTCTGGCAATAATTTAATCCTACCATCAGCCTAGTTCAAGACATGGGGAGCAGTTAACATCTCAACTGCTGCCCTTATCGAGGGCAAATTAATGGAATCTTCTAAATTCTTTAAAAGGAAATCAGACTAATCATTACAAGATATTAGACATGGACAAATCTATCAGAGATAAGACACATAAAAATAGTACTACTAGAAACCTCAGTATCTGCAGCTGACAGTTTGGACTTGTCAATCCATCAGAGAGCAGCTTCACTCCTGAATCCTGCAGGTCATTGTTACTCAGATCCAGCTCTCTCAGGACACAGTTTGAGGATTGTAGAGCTGATGACAAACTCTTACAACACTGAGCAGTGATATTACAGCCAGCAAAACTATGGGACAAAATATATAATCAAAAATATGTTACTTAAACTTTAATCTCAGTTAAGCATTTTCAAACACAATAGTCTACTTATTATTTATAAAGATATCAATGTACAATACAATGTACTGCAAATAAATTTGAAAGTGAAATGTGGTTGAGAATTTAACACTCACAGGGCTTTTGTGCAGTTGATCACAGCTGGTATCAGTCGTCTTCTCCCCTCATCTGATGTGTTGTATTTCTTGAGGTCCAGCTCATCCAGCGGCTCCTCCGACATCTGAAGCATGTAGGAGATTGTTGAGCAGTGAGCAGGAGAGAGTTTCTTCTCTGAGTGTTTGTCTGATTTCACAAACTCCTGAATCTCTCTGGACAGAGTCTGATCTTTCACTTCCAGCAGACAGAGGAACAGATTGATGGATCTTTCAGTGGAGAGTCCATGTCCATCTCTGATCTTCTCTTTAATGTACTGTGTGGTTCTCCTGATGCTCTCTGAGCTGTTCTCTGTGTGTGTCAGTAGATCCTGTAAGAGTCTCTGATTGGACTCCAGTGAGACGCCCAGCAGGAACCGCAGGAACAGATCCAGATGACCATTCTCACTCTCTAGGGCTTTATCTACTGCTCTTTTATGCAGGCTATGCAGTGAATCTAAACATGCTTCTGTAGTGCTGCTTATGTGGTAGTAACACACATAGAAAGCAGCAAGAAACTCCTGAACACTCAGATGAATGAAGCTGTAGACTTTCTTCTGATGAAGCACAAACTCCTCCTTAAAGATCTCAGTGCAAATCCCAGAATACACTGAGGCATCAGTGACGTCTATGCTGCTCTCAATCAGGTCCTCCTCATAGAACATCACATTGCCCTTCATCAGCTGTTTGAAAGCCTCTATGATGTAGAGCTGTGTGTAGATCATATTCACAAATATTTCATTAGCTTGGTGTTTGATTCCCTCAAATAATTTCTCATATTTGTTCTTCATGCTGGTTTTGTGCCGGTCTTTGACTCTCTGCAGATCTACAGACTCGAGATTGTGTTTCTGCCAGATGACTTCAGCTTTGTCCTGCCTGATGTGGGTCTGATAGTGGGATGACGTAGATGGCACAAATATGCTCAGCTCATGTATATCTTTACTGCTAAATTTGAAAAGAAAAGAGCAGAAAAAATTATAATGCCAGCTGAAGGCCATCAGAATTTTTATTTATGTATTTTTTTTTTTTTACTATTTATATGATTTTGACGCCCTTCTTTGTCTGTCTATGTTGCGTGTTCTGTTTTTGGAGCATTTGGAACATTTAGTGCTATTTCACCTAATAACTTACCAAGTAAAACGCGGCCGTTTGAATATTCAGGTTCAAGAACGACGACGCTGTTTGTTTTTTGTTTTTTACTTTCACTTTCGTTCTTACATTAAAAGAGTCTGGCGCAGCTTCCTAACATTGTCACGTGAGTCACAGAGCAGTTTTAAGCTGCTTTATGTAGCTTAACAAATACAGTATGAATAGAAATTGTTGCCAGTCACCACTACATTAAATCTGACCTTATTTAAAACTGTCATGTTCAAAACATGAAAGTACATTAATTGTGAGAGACAGATAACAAACCTGTTGAGATATATGACCACGGTGGCAAACACATTTAAAATGTCAGTAGCACATCTTTTCTGGTGGGCAATATCTATCAGGATGGGCTGCTTCCGTATTTTGTGAGGCATGATAAACCAAGAGTCCTATCCACACCACAAAGTTCATTACTATAGAAATTGTGTGGGGTAAAATATGGCAAAAGAAGAATCAAATGAGTTTGGGTTGACATATCAGCTTTATGTTAGTGATGATGTGATTCAGCATTTTTGCTTAACAGGACAGCTGTGGTCAGATAACCATTTATGTTTGTCTCACCTTGCATTCATACAGTGCATCCTTCATCATGTGTCAGTCGTCTCACAGCGGTCAGATGATCCAGACAGAACATGGACAGACTCTGGCCGTGTCCCACAGAGAGAAGACTGTCCTGGACACACAGACTCACAGAGACCCCCGTCCAGCAGCAGAGACCCCAACAACATCCATTCAGGACTTGAGAGAGCAACCAATGAAGATGAAGAATGAAAACAGACTGAGAGATGAGAGGAGAAATCAGAACGACACATGAAATAGAGGAGCGACGTCTGTCTGAACACATGCTTTAAACACACACTACATCACTGCTTCATCTCAATGTTTAGAGTCTGAATCTCTCAGCACTGAATCTGAACTTTACAGATGTAACATAACAGACATTGAACGTGATTCTCCATGTGCAAATATTTATTGAAGCAAACCATCTGTATTATATACTTTTATAAATGTTTCTTTACTTGTGTGTAAGTTATGTGTGTGCATTTTATTTTTATCCTTAATTTGTGAAGCACTTTGGGCAACAAAGTTGCATTTAAATGTGCTATATAAATAAATGAAGTTGAAGTTGTATGCCATGCAGCTGTTACAATAAAGAGACATGTTGCCCTGATTTGACCATGAAATAAGTTATTTTCACTAATACAACCTATTGAATTCAGCTTGAGTCAGTCAAATTCATTTATATTTTGAAATTTGAATACAACCACATATTTAGCTTATACTTGACCAAATGTTTTGACAAATCCAAAACACAAGAAAATAAATATAAAACAACATAAACAGAAAAATATATATATATAAATGCTACATTAAATGTCAAGGTAGCAACAAAACAAAATCATACATACAAATTGCTCAGAATTGTAGTTTTAGCTTACCAATTTGTAATGACAACAGTGATAAACAGAGTGAGCCAAAACTTGAATGCTTGAATGGATTAATTAGTGATCAAGAACATTATCCCAGTAAAGTTATGATTACAGAAATAAATAATAGGTAATTTTATCATTATAATATATTGAACGGAGAGAAAACACATTGATCTAACAGTTGCTGACAATCCAGCAGATGAAACTGAGACTGAATCCTCTGAAACAATGACATCTACAGTAGCTTTTATAAAATCACACCAAATGAAGAGCCCAGTGTTTCTACAGACCAACACCTTTAACTCACTGAAGTCTCCACTAAAACACCCAGAACAACAGATGACACCTGATATCTGAACAGTTTTCTACAGATGTTTATCTGCATCAGAATCAGGAATTAAAAACAAATGCAGGTGATAAGGGAATTATAAGGGAAAATAAGGGAATATAATGGTTTATATAATGGTTATATAATGGTATGTATAATGGCTGATATAATGGTTTTTATACTGTACAAACTATATTTTCTAAACCAACTCTACACCTAAACCTACCCCTTACAGAAAACTTTCTGCATTTTTCGTTTTCAGATAAAAAAACAAAAACAAAAAACATTTAACATGTTTTTAAGCGTTTTGAATTATGGGGACATAGGCAGTGTCCTAAACCACCTTCACATTCTAATACCTGTCAAACCCATCTCATTATAAAAATGTGTGTCCCCATAAACCACCAAACCAGTGCACACACACACACACACACACACACACACACTTTTATTTCCAGTATGACATAATATTTTTAAAGCATCTAGTATAAAACAAATTTGGTCAACATTTAGATGTATACTAGCAAGTAGATGCCCTACAAGCTAAATTACAAGCAACAAAACAGTCTGTGTGATTCAGTTGTTTCTCACAGCAGGTTGTGTAATCTGACACAGAGACAGTTCAGACTCAAACACTCCAAACCAAGCATAGAGGGGTTCAGTGAATGTGTGTAAGCATGTGTGTGTGTGTGTGTGTCAGAGGTGCTTTAGAAGGACAGAGTGCCGGCCAACACGTCCACATACACTCCTACTCTTGTAGAATAGGGTGATGGGACAGGTACGCTAGTGTTCACATTATTGTGCCAGGAAGTGAATCCATCAGAAGAGCAGTACAGACTCCAGGATTTGTTACTGCATTCAAACCAACAGTCATTCCCTCCTTTCCTGCTGATTCCTTTGTATGTCACTGCCAGTCCATTCAGCCTCCCAGTAACAGCGTCCAGTCAGACTCTCTCCACAGAGAACCTGGTCAGAGCTCTCAAATCTGAACAGGATATGGCTGCTTTTCCTCAACATGTGTTGCCTTTCTATTGTCCTCAGACAGAGAGAGTTTAACATGTGCTATGTTTGGATCCAGTGTGAGATCACAGGCATCTGAACACAAGAGAGATGAAAAGTACATGAAGGACAGTTTTTACACATGTGTGTTGGTAAACTGGGTAAACCCTACATTACATTTAAGGGTGGAATTAAGGGACAGAATGTAAAGTCATGATATTTATTTCAAAATAAATGAGTTTAATTAGTGCTTCTCCAACGGTGCATTTTGACAGCAGAGTCAGCAGAGAAAAGATACCAAAAGATAAAGATGTCAGCTGTGTGGACTCTATTGTAGTGCTGGTTTGACAACACGTACATTAATCATGAATATTAAATAAAATCCCAAAATCAATATTTAATGTGATGAGTAAACAAAACATCACTTAACATTATGTTTAGCATGCTTCAAAAATCACAATAGGCTTTATGCTTTGTTACTTGTAATATGAAACATCTCAGTTTTCAAATTCCATAAATTTTCTCATGAAATTAAGTCTAAAATGTCTTAAATGACACTCTTTAACATGTTGTGACAGATCACCTTCAACTGGCTTCTGAACCATCATCTATTCCTCCTTACTACTAGTTACAGCACCAAACAAACATGAATGAACATCAAAATCGAAAAAGATAATTAAGTCATATGTTGTTTGTGTTGTTTTTTTATCGCATTTTTAAATATGCATATCTCCTGAGATACGTTGCCTGTTTGGGGTATAAAAAAAGATTATCCTCAATAGTGACAACGAATGGTGTCACAAGGTAAATTGTGCTCCCAGTTCTGGTTATTTCATTATTGTGAATTATGGGGTGGTATGGTGTGGTAAGTGTGTGAGGGGTGGGGTGTTTTGAGGGGGTTTGGCGTTCCCCCTTGGTGGTTATGGGGGGTGGGAGGGGGTGAGCAAAATACACAGAAAATACACAGAAGTCACAGAAATCACATAAAATACAAGGTGGAGCCCCTTGATAAAAAAAAAAAAAAAAATGTATCTTAGAGAAGTGGGGTGGGGGGTGGATGGGGGTAATAAATCGCATCAAGGAGAGCAGGTAAGCATTCCAGGGCCAGGGGCCATAAGGGAAGAGCCTTATAGGATGGTGGCCCTCCAGGAGCTGGATTGGACATTCTGGCATCTAGCCCCCCTGTATACAGTCCCCTTTCTATTTATTTTGAGTTTTAAAAATTGTAATGTGAATATTTGCATGTAAAATGGATAATATTACATTTAGATGACTACATCTTTGCATTTTTAACTAGATTTTTCTCTTGGAGGGT